CTTTTTCACCCACCTCCAAGTCTGCCCACATACTTTCATCTCCTCTTCACATGACCTCCTCCAAGTCACCCCACCCTCGCACTGACGACCAACTCGCCGCTTCCCTTTCCGCCTCGTTCCACTCGACCAATGGCTGGCTTGTCTAGTGATGTCACCCACTTGATGGTTTCTTCAGCGTATGGTTAATCCATCTCCATTTCTTCCTGTCTATATGTTTCACAATCGGTTCCTTGTTGGTTGGCTCATTGCCAGAGATCCCTGTTGCTGATCTTTTCTGGCCGGCCATCTGATCTTGAGTATTGAGCGAAGACAACTGTTAATGAAGGTCTGAAGTTTGTTGGTGATGCTCTTTATGACGCACAGTGCAAGTCTCTGATCCGTATAGTAGCACTGACTTCACATTGGAGTTGAACGTCCGGATCTTATTTTTGATGCTGAGTGATGTTGACCTCCACACAAACTTAAGGGTAATGAAAGCCTGTCTCGCTTTTCCGATTCTGGCTTTGATATCTTCGTCAGTTCCGCCTGTAGTTGAAACGATGCTTCCCAGGTAGGTGAAGGAGGTTGTTTCTTTCAGGTTCCTCCCATTTATGCTGTCTGTCGTCTGTTGTTGTTGTTTTTGCTGTTGATGTTGGCTAGGAATCTTCATCACCTCTGTTTTATTTATGTTCACCTGAGGTGAAGTCCTATCTTTGATGCTTCTTCCTCTGCCAACTTGTTGCTTTTCACTTGCAGATCTTCCAGTTTGTGGGAAATCAGACATATATCATCGGCGAAGTCAAGTCTGTTTTTGTGTCAGTCCATTTTATGCCTGTTTCCTCATTGCCCGTTGTCAGTCTGTCTGTCTGTCGCATTATCCAGTCTACTGCAATCAGGAAGATCATTGGCGATAATAGACAGCCAGTCAGCCTTGCCTCACTCCCGTCCTCCCTTTATCGAAGGCTTCTGTAAGTTTCCCGTTGTGGATTACTTGTCATGCAGCATTGTCGTATAACTGCTAGAAGTCACTTTAAAATCACTTTTCGGTTACGATTTTACACCTGTTTTACAGCACATGTTAAACTAAGAGATTCTGTTCAACTTAAATTTTGTTCGTGTATAAAAAAATCTTTTTCTTTCTATGCCTGCTAACAAAGAAAAATAAGTAATTACTTCTCGAAAATCAGAAGCTTATTTTCAATTAGAACAAAGTAACAAACTCCTACAGCAAAAAAGTAAAGCGACTTGACTCAGTCTAAATTGAAATTGCACATAAAGGATGGCAATTGAGAACGAAACTGTAAGAAGTTTTTTTTTCTTTTGTGTACACTAATAGTAGTGATAATAAATGACTTGATTCTCGATTGTATACGACTGAAAATTTGAGAGAATTCACTTTGACGTCTAATGATGTTTCCAAACACAATGAATAGTAATGCTTTAGACCACCAATTAGGACTGTAGAATAAGCAATAAGAGTTGAGTGATGCGTAAAAACAAAAATTAATGAAAACGTTCAGGTTGAATAAAGACCAAAGGAGTTGAAATATAAAACAGCTGTGATGATCCTACTTAAGTTAATTCAATGTCTGAACCAAAAGGAATCCACCTGGAGAAGCCAAACCTGTGTGTTCAGGATAAATTTTTGCGGCCACTTTCCTTACCTTGGCCATTGTTGCATGAATGTATAAATCACACTACTTCGCCCCTTCCCCCTAAACCTTTAGAAAATTATAAATGCCTAAAATTATTTTATTATTTTTCTGACTACTTCATCTTTAATTAGAAGTTATCATTGTTCAAATCGTTTAACTTTTCTTTGACAACCCGTTACGTAGTCAACTTGAGCACACACTTATTTTTAATTGCTCTTCATTTTTCCATAATAATGCATTATGCAATCCACGTGTTGTAACTGTTTCTGCCTTTTAATTGTGTGTATTAATTTTCCTTTATCAGTTATCACCCCATTAATATATTGATACAGACTAATTATTGCTAACAAACATATCGCCACTTGATTGGTAAATTGTTTGTATTGTAATAAAGTGCTATGGACATATATTAGAGTAGAGCCAGAGATGAGGATATATATATATATATAAACAGTATGCTGGAGGCACCAGACAGTTATTGTTACCATATCACTGTATTATATTAAATAAACTTACATAATATGGAATTAAATCCTACCACAGTGCAAAAACTCTACTGTTACACCAATATATTCCCAAGGAGTTATGGAGTCTGAAAGTAGGAATTCACAGCTACATGACCATCTCTGAAACAAAATTTTAGAGTTACTTACTTGTCTCTGCAGAATCCAGTAACTGACTTTTTAGTTTTTTCACTTTACTATGCTTAATAAAATTCCATGGGTAGCTTTAGGAAACAGTGACTAGTTATTTCGACTGCTCGCAGACTCTGGTTTTTTATAAACTTGTTCACTAGACATTTTAATGTGATTCTCTTCTTCTGTGTTGGTAAAGCAGCGTCGGACCGATTCTTTTTTACATAGTTCCATTACGAGTAAAATTTATTTTGATAAAGTCTGACAGTATTATGCAATAATATTTACTGATGACGTTTCGAGCACAATTTATTGCCATTCATAATCATATCAAGGTACTCACACAACTCTCTAACTTCATTCATATAATTCCATTATTTTTCATCGCTTGATTTGATTGGTAGTAGTATTTTCCATATTTCCGGTATGAGTGATGAATCATTCCTGGTGTATGTGTTGGGTGTAGACTCGATGAACCAGGCAGGATTCAGTAATCAATCTCTCTCTCTCTCCACCTACCTATATCACTTCTTAGAATTTTGACTTTGTCCCTCCCTATTGTGTAGTTGTGTGTTAATGCATGCAGTGCAATCTCTGAGCTTTTTTCTATATTACTTATCTTCTCGGAATCAGCCATTTTTACTTTAGGTAAATTCTTATGTTCCGGTAATCAGACTGTTGGAACATTAGAATCCAGCAGGTACATGCAGCTGAAGAGTGCTAAATGGGACGAGATGAGCATCCTGGATTCCGCTGCTAGTCAACATCCACAAGTTAACTTCTAATTATATGCCCAGACATCGTCGAAGCATCTGCACAAGAAGCCGGCATGTCAACCTGAGACCAAACACTTCGATCCAGTCAATCGACAGGAAAATGTAAAGTTGAATTAAATAATTAATATGACCCGTTGCACAAGAGGTGGCTCTCGTGGCCCAAGTGGTATTGTGGATGACGCTTTGTCTGGTGTTTGAAACTATGAGCACTGGGTTTGAGCCTCATTGGGAACATCATCAGTGACTAATTGTGGAATTCAGGTACATCTAGTTGACAAGTCCCAAATTCGACGAAATGCGCGTTATCCTGGATTCCACTGCTAGTCACCACCCACCAATTAAAGTTAACATTAGCTTTATATTTATATATATCACCAGCAGTTTGAAGTATGAGTAGCTTGTAGACTGTGACGTGATTCTATACCATGGATCAGTTTTATATGACGTGCTTGTTTTTTCGAGTAATTATGAGAATTTGAAGCAATGTTTCAACCTGGGTTTGCATGACATGACTTTCAGTGGCTCTAAGTAAGCCATTTTACTGCTGCATAGTTTGGTGGATAACGAATATCTAAAGCAAGTGTCAAATGAATAATACGTTTATGGGAAAGAAACCGGACAGATAACCACTTCAACTAATCACATAATGTGGTATACGTAATGATAGCAATATTAAACGACACATCTATATGGGAAATAACGAATACTTAAATAAGTGAAGGTGTTTAAATGTGTGTTAGGATTGTCTGATGCCAGTTGCTACATCCGTGACTGTTATATGGGAGGTATTTAACCTAATCAAAAAATTTACAGAAAAGCATATATGATACTACTTTTTACACCACTAGGGAGCCGTTTCAGTTCTTGAACTTTAATAAACCGTAATGAGTTTTAGAATTGGAGGTTAGTCAAGACGCCTACATTTACGTGTGCTGGATCACCAGCTTTCACTAAGCTACGTGCTAGTCTTGAGAAAGCTAAAATTAGTAAATTCTAACCAACACATTCTTCATTTTGTTTCCATTTTAGTTAGTTGGTAACAGCTTAAGCTCAGTGGATAGTTAAGGTTTCTTATGGTTTATTTATTGTCTTTAATTATCTGTTATAATAATATACTATTCATTACTGGAACCAAGTAGCATAGCAGCTTTAAACTCTGCTGATTTACCTTTGAGTCAACAGCTATTGCAACTAGACATTTTAACACCTTTAAGATTAGTGGGATAGAGATGAGAATAATCATATACTCTAACATTTGTATGTGTTGCATTAAGACGGAAATAATTCAGCTCGCCGAGGTAAGGCATACCAAGCACACACCTCAGTCCTAAACAGTCAAAAGGACTGTCTAGTTTTTTGATCACCGTGATCTGGTCCGAACCATTTAATGGTATTTATCTCGTACAAAATGCTTTCTTCCTAGATACTATTTAGATTGTCAAACAGATGACGTATTGTGATGTGAATGCGGCACAAACTTCCGTGAAACCTAAACTCAAACTGTGTAGCCTACTGTTTCAACATACTTTGCATTTCGAACAGTGATATCATGAATAATATCGTTTATCACCAAGTTCATTGGAAAAAGGCCTCAAAAAAGGAATGCACAAGTTTAGACATCTAAGAAGTCCCAGGAATTTCTAGCAAGTATATAAACTAAGCAGATGTAGATACCCTATTTTTAAATTTAAATCCAGTGTGACCTTTCTACTCAGGCAAAGTAAATATACATTTAGAGAGGCGCCCAAAGGTGTTTGTGTGCAATCCAAAGAGTAGTCATAGATATCATTTATGACACTAGAAAAAACAACATGTCGCCACAGTTTTACGCTTTAGGTTAGATTAATTAAGTCGGATTAGAACGTTCACCCCTCAGTATAATGGCTTTTAAATTTTTTAAATACTTCTGTCTACAAACATTAACACTGAAGACTATAAATATATTCAAGGACAAATTATTTCTGAACTACAGGAATTTAAACACACTACTATTTTTAATATTGTCGTCATAATGTAGACGTGTTGTAAAATCAATGAGTGTTGTTTGCTTTCTGAGTACGTGTACAAATCTTAATGCCTATATAAGAAGCAGTCGTGTTGGTTTTAAAGATTTACTTTTAAGTGCAGGTAATCACAATTTACATATGTGTATTCACTAAATTTATATTTTTGCAAACTTCACACTTAATTTCTTATTTTTCTAATGATTGGACAGTTGGTAAAGAAGAAGGCTTATAAAGCTACAGAATAGCAGAAGGTGTAAAGAACAAACTGAAAAATAGCTATAAGAAGATAAACTGAATGATTGATATACGTTTCGATTATAATAAATACATGAATTCGTGAGTAGACATTATTGTTGTGCTTTAAATAAATGTTACTTCCTTACACCAATGGTTTGTTTACTTGCTGAATCTCAAACAGATACCGCATAATTTACTATATGACGTTTTGAATACAATTTATTAATGAAACTCATGAAAATCACACCACTATACCCTAGTGACTAAGTTCCACTGTTATGACAAATTTCAAACAATTTGAAGCATGTAGTCCTCTCAACCATGTAACTTTTTATTTATTTTATATTTTATTTTGTTCACGTTCCCAGCTAAACATAGGGCTTCAAGCCACAGTTTTGAAGTTTAGGTAACAGGGGTCTTTATTTTTACGGAATGGGATTGCCAGCCTAATGCTAGCATACTACCGGTTTGGCGGGGTTTAGAAGTGCGTCCGCTGGGTGTTGAAACCTGGACCACATACATGGTTGGCAAGCATTCTACCGCCAACCGCTGAAACACCACATAACTGAATGTGTTAAAATTAAAGCATGTTAAACAGTTTTGTAGATAAGTATAGTTCGTTGCTTTTGCCACCGAAATAATGTGAACTAATTACAACTTCAATTTTCTCATTAACTTATGGCTTGGCTGTAGAGAAGACTTCTCCATCAATGGACACGCTGAAGTGTCTTAACAAGCATATATTGTCTTCTCAGTTAAACCATATAGCCTATCAACAATGAATCCTTATGGGTTTATTAAGGCAGTTGGTTCCCTGTGGGCAGCTTATTCCACCTAACAAATACTGTCAGTTCATTCAATGGTTCACTTATTATTGAAGTATGTCATTCAGATTACAAATTTTAATCTTCATACTTTAACTTTCGTAAACGAATTATACTGACAAAACTCAATCGTACTGTTAATTTGATTTAAGAATTGAATTTTAGTGACACTTTGTTTCCAGTGTACATTAGGCACAAATTAAAAAGTGTGGATGATGGAAATAAAGAGCAGTTGATGTTACAGACTCAGTAATTAAATGCAACCCTTATTAGTCACACTACCTGACTTTCATTTCCACTGCATTACTTCTCCATCAGTCTTACTTCCCAGCCTTTGACTACAGTGTCACTTAAAGGAAATTCAGATTTCTGAGACGAATAAAGTTTGATGTTTCTAATTACCAGATAGTATACATCTCCAAGTGGCAGTTAATACTGAACGTCTACACACAAATTAACTTACTGTGTGCAAACAAAAATAGATAAAATGTGGCTTTTTCCTTCTTATAATATTTTAACTGATCAAGATTTAGCTAAAATATGACAGACATGTAGGTACACTGAAATAAAGTTATAAATTAATTTACATTAAACCAGTTTGTGTACCAAACTGGTCAGCATATTCAAGGAATATTAATCAACTATGAATACAGTTTGTTGGTTATAAAGATCCAAATTAGGAATTCTAGGATAAAGTACTTTACAGAGGAGAATTTCACACCCTTCTATTAATCCTATCCTTGTTTTGCTTTAGTCACCAGTGTGTTTTCCTGGATATCGCTATGATTACCAGATATGTAACGGCTTGTATTGCACCATCCTATCACTCCAATTTTTATTCTACTCAATATAAAGTCAAACTGAATAATGTCTATGATTTACGGTCTGGGTATTGTCTCGGCTTTCTCGCCTATGGAATTAATACTCATATGTACAAAATGAAAATAAGTCATTGTAATTTAATTCCATCTTAGATATGTAGGTTCACCGGAGCAGTCTAGATTCCCCACACTACGGGAGCTGATGAAATATGTTTATAGTTTTAGGAAAAACGTACCTGAAATTCCTGGAATTAAAAGAGCAGTCAGTAAATATGTATTAAACTTTTCTACTAACAAAAGCATAGAGTACATGCTGAAGCCGTTCGACAACTTCATTTGTGTTATTTATTCAAAATTATTTAGTATTCTGTTTTTATTATTATCATTATTATTTTAACTTGAAGAAAAATTTAATTATATTCTAAGCATTTACAAATTTCTGCTTTCTTTCTCTGTTATAGTGAGGATTTCTGGAGAATGATCTTTTATGAAGCAGATAGTGATCGTAATGGGAGGATTAGTTTTAGTGAATTTAAAAGGTACATGGATAAGTACAGTTATGCACTGGGAAAGAAAGAAGTGGAAAGAGCATTTAAATTTTGTGATTTAGACAAAAGTGGCTACATTGAATTTAATGAGTTTAAAAAATATATGAAATGTGAACTATGAAATATCGTGTGCCATATTGGATATGACATTTTCTTCGATCGGAATTTTTTGATTCTTCAGATTTTTTTCTTATGTATTTTTTTAAAGTCTTTGTAAAATAAACAGATAAATTTCTGAGTTTTTTTCTTTTAGGGAGTTTTTGCTTCTCGTCTGCTTCCTGAATCTATTAGTTGTTTGTTAGAATGTACCTGGATTGTGTATGGATTTTGAGAATGATAGCTAGGCAGATACTATAAACATTAGTTTTTTAAATGGCCTTGGGAAATAATATACAGCCTTTTTTACGGTCATTTCGCTGTTTAATGCCAAAAGGCCTCATCAAAGTATTATTAAACCAGAATTTACACAATCTCAGCTTATATATAACAACTTAATCATCGTTCCTCAGTATGGGGTTATTTTTGCGTTGTCAAATTGGCCACTTGGTAAAGAAAATAAAACCAGATGTAGATTGCTGGATTTGATAAATGTGTAAAATTATAAAAGCAGCGTGTGTTTATGTAGTGAAATCGCTTATCACATTCGGGTTGATTTTGTCACCTCATGGGGGAGGGGGGTGTTGTAACCTATCCAGACAATTTGGATTCCACTTGATATGAAGTGCTTCTGATATTAGACGTTCTTTGTGATTCCTGAAGTTTTTCTGGATTATTTCATTATTGTCAGAATCAATTTCGTGTCCTGATTCTATAGCGTGTAGACCTACGGCTGATGATTTTTCAAGCTTCTCTAGTTCAACTGGATTTCTTGGTAGGAAATACAAAAAGTCTTTGTTATAATGAATATCATATAGCAAATGCCCAAATTTTATCAAAATCTTAAAAGTGAACTTGGTTTGGACGTATGTAGTATAGAGACTTTAAAATATAGGGTATTAAGGAGGCTCTTTGTCATTCTTATGCCACCGTTAAGCTAAAGAATACCGTTCTGGGTGAACATAGGTCTAACTAAATGAAATAATCTTGATCGGCAGAATTTTGGATAGGCACATTAAGATATTTTCACTAAGAACATTAAGAATGTTGAGTCTTTCGATACCAGTGAAAGATGAGATCTTTTTGACAGTGAATTATTTTAGTTCAGAATTAACTATTAGGCATAAATAAAGAGCATTTAGCTTGGGATTTCGGATTTGTTAAAGATGATCGTGCTTATAGATAACAATAATGGAAGATACAAGAATCAACGAGATTGCAGTTAAGTGATCAAAAAAAACCCATAAGTACATGAATTTTTTCGTTGTATTCTTCCTCAGGCTCTAGACAAGTTGATTGATGAGTTTCATTGCATGTTTGATAGTACGTGGCATAAGTAAAATAACTGTAACTTGTAGTATTACTTTGGACTTACCGGTGAAGTAGAGTGTGTTTATAGCATGTCAAATGCTTAGAAATCATTTTAGAAAGAACGATGTACAATAAGACCCCGAAAAGTGAACAGTATAATCACATATTAAAAATTGCTATCGTATAATTGAGAAGGACACATGTTTGAAAACCTTGTTGTTTTTATCTAAATGTTCTTGAGCTTTACTCTAAGATGTACGACTTTCTAGATATGTATTGAGTTGAAACCAACCACAGTTTTCTGTTGCAGAATAATGAGATTGATATAAATTATCTGTTTAGTCATAACAGTTATAATACTAATACTATTAACAACAATGAGGAACAATAGGACAATTCGTGATAAAAATAATGATGAAACAGAGGGATTATACCAACAAGTATTCTAATAGACGTAGCGAATCAAGTTCGTGAAAACAAATTGATGAGATAACATGATGCTAAACTGCAAAGAAGGTAGATAAACTGAGTTCTGATGAAGAAGTAGTAAACAGGACATCACTGACATCGTCACAGACAACATCATAGGCATTTTAGGAGTGTGTGCATCCCCCGACATAGTAAAAACTAAAGTAACGTACTGAATCAAATGTAACAACACAGAGTAAACAGATTTATTAAAATGGATTTCATTACGACCATGACATATATCTTGCCCATTCTTTAAAATATTACTTCCTGAGTCAGGGACAAGAAGCATTTTTGTCCAGTAATCAAATGCTCAAGTCATTTTGAATAAAGGAAAAGTCACTCTGCGAAAGAAAGGGAGGAAGAGCACTTTAGAACACTACAGTTTCAGAAATTTACTAAAACCCAGTAATACTGCAGGCCTCCCATTCATTTTCATTTTTCAGACAATTGTAGTTTAGCAGGAGATAAAGTAATTTGACTCCAATATGCTTATAAATCCCTAAAATACTTTCATGGTTTTAATGTCCCAAGTACTGCTGAAAACCCTTTTGTAAGGCAGTGTTGACCCAAGAGAAAACTAGAAGTTAGCATGAGAAGCTTGTATTTTTACTAACTTTAAAGTAATCAGAAGGTATTTCAATTAATCAGTAACACAAATAAACATGAAAGATATGAAGTCTTTAAATTTTTGCTCATCGTTCAGCTACTCAGTATGCACAAAATATGATGGCTACCACACGTATCACATGTTTGTTTTGGTATTCAGTAAAACTAGGTGAAACAACATAATATAGATTAACAAATTCAAATAATTTTTATTATCTTGTGGATGCTAGGTTCCGAAGATTTCTTTTAAAATAAAGACAGTAACAAAGGCAAAAAAATCAAGGAGATGGATGGGAGAATATATTTTGACCTTTAATTCTCCTGTTTTCAGTATTACTCTAACATTTTACTGATCCAATACATGTACTTCATCCTTCCTATACTCCACTTTGGTTTCACTTTAAAATCAGCTAAATACCTACTGCAAATTAGTAAGTATGAAACTGATAGCAATTGCTTCCTTATATAAAATAACTACCTGACTACTATTTTAATATATCACTTTAATAGTAATATATTTAATGCTTGTCATGATGTGTATTTTTTTTTACTGGAACTTCTCACACATTTACAAAATAAATAGGTTCAACAATCAGTCTTAGTGGCCAAACCTTTTACTTTTTCCGGCAAATAAATTTTTCAAACTTTTAAGATGATCTGCTAATCAAATCGACCCTTAGTATTACTTTTGACAGAGTTGTGTGATATATTAAGATGTTTCATTATTTAGTAGAAACTTAACTTCATAAAATCAGATTTCAATACTTATGTTCACAGTGTTGTAAATGTCCATGAGGTGAAGTTCAAGAATAGCGTCTCAGGAGTGTGAACGCTCCAATGACCTTGAATGCATGCTAGTCATTGGCTAACAGCATCTGTTATTATCATACCTGAAATATCAACGCTATTCACCAACTTAGGAGCAAATTTCACCCAGATCACGTTTTTAAGTACTTTTTGGACAATGTGTTAATAGCTCGTTAGGGTTAAGATTAGGGTTAAGGTAAGTATTAGGGTTAGGGTTAGGATCAGGGTTATAATTAGCATTTGGGTTAGAATTACGGTTTGAATAAGAGTTATGATTAGGGTTAGCATTAAGGTTAGGTTTAGTGTTAGGGTCAGGATTAAGCTTATGGTTGTGATCAGGAATAGATTTATAGTTGATATCATTTATTTTAATTTTTTTATTGTCCACGTTTTCCTGGTAAGTAGTCGTCTGTCCTCTTGCTGGAAATCATAATTATTCAACCGAGGGCTTTTTTGAAAGACTGCAAGTAGGATGAGAGAGATAAAAGATTCACAAAAACAGTTTATCTGTAGTTCTCTCGGTGAATACATGTACAAATCTGCTAAGTTAGACTAGTTTCTAGAATCTAGTCTAACTTAGCAACTGATACTCCTCGTTACAACTAGGACGGATTTTTAAGTCATGTCAAAGAAAGATAACCTGTTTAATGCGTTTTCAAGCATTTTCTTGTCAATATGCATCATTTTTGAGCAAACATTCCTCATTTTTATGATTGTTCAGCTGAAGGTCACTCGTGCGTTCGCACTCCTGGGAGGCTATTGTTGAACTTTACCGTCCATGGTGTAATCAAAACAAAATGATTTGGAGCGAACAATTTTCGTCAATAAATTTTTCCTCATACCCTGAAGTTATAAAGCCATGAATATCATAATAGAGATAGTCACTAAAGGCATGTGAAAAATTATATCGGAAACTGTATTGGGGTACATGTATAATATGCAGTGATATTTCGTTATTTAATACCGTCAAATGAACGTATTTAGAAAATCTACAGTCATTCAGAACATAAGATATAGTGTGAATAGACAAAAGGGTGGCATACTAATGTTTTTATAGTCAACACAGTGTAAGTTTCATTGGGGACGGGTGGAAGTAAGTTATAAATTTAGTGGTTTGAGAGAAAAATGAATACAGAAAAAATCCCCATTTAGACATTTAGAAAACAGAGAGATCGAGCCAGAAGAAATATTTACTTTTCAATTAGATCCTCATCTCTGGCTCTACTCTAATATATGTCACAGCATTTTTATTACAATACACAACAATTTACAAATCAAGTGGCGATATGTTTGTTAACAATAATTAGTCAGTGTCAAAATGTCAATGGGGTGATAATTAACGAAGAAAATCAAAACACATTTAAGAAGAATACTAAAAAATGCATAAAAACAAATACGAACAAATGGGGAAACACTGAGTGTAAGTTCAAGTGCTCACAGATATCAAGTGTAGTGATAAAATAAAGAGGTTAGATCGTGAACTGTAATAAAGTAGTAATAAAATACTAGAGACATAATAAACTCAAAGCAAATTACAAAAAGGCTGACACATAATAAGGGTAATAATAGAGTAAAGTGAACTGGGTGAGAAGGAATAAGAAGGCATAATATGACATAAAAATATGGATGATTATGCCCCTGATGTCTTTACAGTAGGCCAGCGTAAACAAAGGTTGAATATGCTTCTTTTGCACACGTAAGTCAGGTTTTTTTTCTCACTAACCTCTTTAGCTTCCAATATAGCCAGGAAACGTAATCGTGGGCATTTGGGCAGATTGTTTGTTACTCGATACACGGCCGTAAATGCTCATCTATTCTAATGTGGTGTTCACTACCTACTAGATGAAACAAAATGGTTACATTGGTTGCACTTTTTCCAAGCCAAACAGGAACATTTTCACGATCGCATAAAGATAAATTCCTCTGAGTTCAACCTATATATCTAGCCCTACATGAGCAGTCGAACTTGTATACACACAATGATGTGGCGTGATGTGCTGCGCTGTGTTAGTAACGGACTGGCTGAGAAACTGATGTGTAGTTCTGCAGCACTGAAAGTTTTTCAACTAATCTGATCAACCTATGGCCTAATATATCACTGCATATATCACTTTTGAACT